TTATGTTTCCATAAAGGCCGGGACACACCAAGCCGACTTCAAAGAACTAGCTGTGACGAAAGCCGACGGTGTTGTCGCCTCACGTCAGCAGCGTCGGGCCAAAAAGCTGCGCTTGAACTCACCGCACAGACTACAGCCGACGGCAAACTAACACGTATGTTCTGCGCATGCGTGAGAGGAATTAACTGTCTATATCAGCAGCTATCAATAGTGTATTTTCGTCATTCAAAAGGAGAAACCGAAACAATGTTATACGAGATAAATGCAGATATATGAAACGTAAACAAAGCAGCCGACGAGTGGAACACACCAAACAAACTAGCCCGACTGTCGCTCACCGTCGGGCCGACGTTGGCCAAAGGCTGACTGTCGGCTTGGTGTGTCCCGGCCGTTAGTGTTTGCTACAAATAGGCCTCATGTTCCCATTGTTCTTGGTCGTGTATTTAATGTATGTACCTGCTGTCGGTGAGTCTAGTCTGTTCATGCTACGTCAAGTCTGTTCAAGTCAAGTCAAGTCTTTGTTTGGATGTTTGGATCACTTTGTAAATAAACTGCACATGGGTTCTTCAACTTGCCGTTCAGTGGACTGCTCATTACAGAATACACGACCACAACCATGAACCCAGCAGTTTCATGCTTCCTCTGCCTGCGTCAAGGAAACAGGGCTATAGAGGTATATGTGGAGGACTTTTGCGAACTTTCTCACTGTGGATTTTAATGACGTGGCGCTTAAAAACATTTTTGGCTTTGGTTTAGACGAACCCCTTCGTTCAAGTCTGCCGGGGGGTAAGATTTGTTGGTCACTAGAACAATATATTGACTATGCTTTGTTGTTGGCTGGTTCACCTCTTACTGTGGGAGTTGTGGATGAGGAGCCCCGCAATTGTGCTGTACCCACTGCACCAGAGCATTTTCACGTCCCGACCGTCATGTCAGGAGTTGCTCAGATCATGCCTAACAATCCAGAGTCTGCTCACGTCACGTCTGTCAAGCCAGGACCTGTTCACGTCATGTCTGCTACTCCAAAGCCCGCTCACATCATGCCTGCCAAACCAGCTCCTGCTCACGTCATGCCTGTCAAGCAAGAACCTGCTCATGTCATGCCAGTTAAGTCAAAGTCTACTCATGTCATGTCCACCATATTAAAGCCTGATCACGTCATGTCTGCCAAGCCAGAGTCTGCTAATGTCATGTCTGCTACCCCAGGGCCTGCTCACGTCACGTCTGCCAAGCCAGAGCCTGATCACGTCATGCCAGCCACTCAAGAGATTCTTCTCAACATGGCCACCATTCAAGAGCTTCATCGCAAGATGGCCACCACACAAGAGTCTCTTCGCAAAATGGCCGCCCTTCTAGAGTCTCGTCACATCTCAGTTGATCTTCCAAAGTCTCGTCACGTCTCAACTGATCGTCCAGAGTCTCGTCACGTCTCAGTTGATCTTCCAGAGTCTCGTCACGTCTCAGTTGATCTTCCAGAGTCTCGTTATGTCTCAGCTGATCGTCCAGAGTCTCGTCAAGTCACAGCTGATCGTCCCGAGGCTGATCACGTATCGTCTGTTCGTCCCGAGGCCTG